AGGCATGGGGTGAGGGAATAAAAAAATAAACCCTAAGAGTAAAACTGATTCAGGCAATAATTATCAATCAATGCTAAATCTAGAGGATCACCTTTTATAATAGGTTACTTCACATAATCTCAAAGTATTCCTCCACAAATTACTTAATAGTTAGAAAAATAACTAGATTTCAGAAACTGAAAACACAAACAAAAAACCCTAACCACAGTACTGGAAGCAATAGAGAAGTTTGGCAGAGTGGCGGGATACAAGATCAACAAACAGAAGCCCATCGGACTGTTATACACATCAGATAAGACCACAGAAGAGATAAAAAAGGTGGTACCCTTCACAAGAGCCAAACACAAATTGAAATATCTAGAGATATACCTGACTAAAAGAACAAAAGATCTATATGGGGAAAACTACATAACACTATTATAAGAAACCAAGAGTAACCTCAATAAATGCCAAGAATATCCCATGCTCATGGATTGGAAGACTCAATATACTCAAGATGTCAGTTCTGCCTAAGGCATTATATAAGTTTAATGCAATCCTGATACAATTACTCTCATCTTTCTTCAAAGAAATGGGAAAACTGATTACCAACTTCATATGGAGAGGGAAGAAGCCCAGAATCAGCAGGGAACTCCTCAAGAAGGACAAGGGGAGGGCTTGCGTTACCTGAGTTTAGCACATACTAGACAGCCACAGTTGTCAAAACCGCATGGTATTAGTAAATTGACAGATACTCAGACAAATGGAAAAGAACTGAAAACCCAGAAATAAAATCATCAGCAAACAGACAACTGATCTTTGACAAGGGCCCAAAAAAGGTGCAATGGGAAGCAGATAATATTGACCTGCAGAAAAACGAAGCAAGACACTTATCTCACTCCATGCACAAGAATAAACTCAAGGTGAATCACAGACTTTGAAGTTAAACCCCAAATTATTAAGGCCATCAATGAGGGAATTGGGACCAACTTAAGAACTTTGGCACAGGGAATACATAGGGTATCAGAAATAGGGAAGGACACAAACACAGAGGAGGCACAAATTGACAAATGGGATATACTGAAGATAAAACACGTGTGTACATCAAAAGAATTCACCAAGAGAGTAATAAGAGAGTCCACAGATTGGGAAAACATCTTTAGCAATGACACATCAGTCAAAGGCCTTATTACTAAAATCTACAATAGCTTCCAAAAAGAAAAAAACTAACTGCCCACTGAGGAGTGGGCAAAGGACCTGAACAGAAGTTCACAGGGGCAGAACTCCGAATGGCCAACAAACATATGAGAAAATGTTCCCGATCTTTAGCCATAAGACAAATGCAAATTAAAACAATGTGGTACCAGCTAACACCCTCAAAGATAGCCCAATTCAAAAAAATCAGAAAGCAACAAGTGTTGGAGGGGCTGTGGGGAGACTCTCATCCACTCTCATCCACTGCTGGTGGACCTTTAAGTATGTACAGCCACTATGGAAATCAATCTGGCGATATCTAAAATGGATGGAAATTGAGTTACCATACGACCCAGCAATC